AAACAGTAACGTATAATGAGGAATCTGTGTGCCTATCTTATCTTCGTTGGATAACGAATAGGCGATCATGTTAAGAAATTTTTTGCATTATATTTACGGGTCAGGTTGGATTAAATTTCATCAGCGTAAGCGAAGTTAGTTTGCTTCTAATCGATAAATTATTCCACGCTGGCCGCATTTTTGTGTAATTTGCCGCCAGCATTGTTGCGTCGCCGATGATCCAATCGACGACGAATCTCAAATTAAATTTTGAGAAAAAAAATCTTTCGTGCCTGCGTGAATTTTACCAAGGTTGCGCAGTCTTGATGAAGCAACTTAGAAAACTTTCTCTACGGGGCATTGGAGTTCGAAGAAAACGCAAGCTTTTAAAACTTTCCCGAGGAAATCGATCACTATCACGGCCATTTTCCTTTTTAAACCCAGGGCCGCTGTTTTGATTGCGAGGTACGGCTTGCATTTTTCTTTTCATTTTATTGTCTTAGCTGCAGGAAACGCGTGTGTATGTGGATGGGGGAAAAAAGAGCGTGGATTGTCAAGATCTTCGCCCTCGAACCTTGTTCCTTGAAGCACGCGAGAATCGAGGCGATGCATAACGTCTCGCACCACTCCACTCTACTTCGTACCCACGGGGGGAAATCGAGATTGCTCTTCATCTTGATCGGAATCCACGCCTCTGACTTTTTGCCACACTCACCTAGGGTTCTCTACGGGGTGCGCACAAATTCAAATGATGAACTCTCGAGTTTTGTTTTAATTCTTCTTCCGTTGAGTTGCTGAGATCCGGATTTTAAATGGAAGACACTCTGAGAAAATTTTTCGGCCGGAAAAAATCTTCAAGTACAGTAAGTGAATGAAGATTCCTTCGAAAAATGATTTTTGGAAGAAAGAACGGAATGATTTCAGGAATAGAATGGATTTCTCGACGAATTTTTCGGAATTTACTTGCAGACGCATTTACGATTCATTTCACGAAAATGTAAGTGAGTGCAGATGGACTGCCATCTTTTCATGGATTCTCACATTTTTTTGCACTCTAGTTCTTCGTATTTTCAAGCTTATTTCTGGCCGGATTTCCTCCGGATGTCAAGTCACCGGAAACATTAAATCAACCGAAGCCATTTGAAACTAAGCTGAAGTGATTTCCTGAAGTGATTATCGGAACATCTTTGTGATCAGGCGAAGTAATTGGATATGATCTGCCTTCAGTGTAAATTCAAATACAGTACAATGCTCCTCATTGAAATTTAATTTCGAAGGGAATTGGCAAGGGTACGCTTTTCATGTTTCAGTTTATTTGACGAGAAGCCTTTTTATTTATTTGCTGCGGTTCGAAATCAAAATCGCCCGCTACGAAATTTCTATTTCAACCCATGAATTTTATGAGATTTTCAGGGTACTGTATTCAGATACAACTTGTTGGTGTGTCGTGCCGTTCTTTCAACGACGGATTCATCCTTTTTAAATAAAATTTTTATCATCGATGAACGTTGCGGTGCGGGATTTCTTATGTTACTTGTAAGAAAACTCGAGATATTCTAGGGACAGTTTTCGAGCCCACATTTATTTTAACCGTCGATACTTATTCCAAGAAAGATAACGGCATTTTTTCCAGTGGATAAGACTCCTTTCAAAATGAAGCTATTCTCAAAGCGTCAGTTTTGTATGTTCTGTAGTGCACTAAAAAGTGGGACATTCAGAATCAGAAATCCTCGTTTTTGGATAATGCAGTGCCGTCTGTCGCACTCTGTGGAAAGAAGAAAATAAAGCCTCCGGCAGAACACATTTCCGGTCGGCGTATCCTTTTTTCCCCCCACATTGAATTTCTTCGTTCGCCGCGTTCAACCCGGAACGCAAGTTTCTTTTTTCCCTTGATCTCTCCCTCGTTGGATGAAGAGTTCACTCTTGGGGTTTCTCGCGGGCCTGAAAAATATTCTAATTCGTTTCAGACTTGTTCGTATGCCTCGCGGGACCTGAGTCACATTTATTGATCCCTGCTTCGTTTTTTTGTTGCACGAAACAGGAGTTATATTCTTTTCAGGTAAGGGGAATAGGGTTTTATTTCGTTTTCTGTTTTATGTACACCTCGTCTGGAATGGGTGAGTCAGCGGCCGCGTGTTTGTTGCCCGGCATGATGGTCATGGATATTTTGTGGCTTTAGTGGCCCCGGGGGGGACCTTGGCTGACCCGGAAAAACGCCTTTTGACATTTTATCCTTATCTTGCGATGGCTTGGGGCCGCGCGCTTTTTCCGACTCGGCTATAAATTTATCCCCGACTGCGAATCGTCGGTGAAGCGTTTTGAGCGGGCTGAAAATGTCGCGACACGAAAATCCCGCGGTGTGGAAATGCGAGTGAAACTTTGAGAAAAGCTTCAAAATAGGAATGGTGATTCAAAATATTGAAAATGAAAAAATTGCCGAATGCTTTTTTTCATTTTGGGTATGGTTACAGATCTCCGAAGGCTTTTTTTTAACCCGACTAGGTCGAAACCCAGTGTTGGGTTTAAAAAATATATAGGTCTCTCTCTGCAGTGACTATCAAAGGTCCAGAAAAATCCTTGTAGAGAGTACTTCGTTGTAGAGAACCCCTATATCATGGGGAGAGAACTTTAAGGGACCAAAAAATAGAGATAATCGTAGAAAATGGTTTTGCAGATAGTCCACCTGTATACGAAATGCACAAAAGGAGGCCTATTCAAGTGCCAAACCTGCGAATTTTCTAATTTTCGAGCAAATTGAGTTTCGAAATTCTCAGAATTTCCTGAGAAGGAGACATTGATCAATCAATAGTTCTTATATCAAACAAAAGGATCGATTGGCCGCACCCGACTTTTTTGGGAAAGAAGTTCTGTCCATACTGGAGTTAGAACGTTGTTCCATTTACTTTTCATATTTATATTATGAATAAATGTATGCTGTTCAAATTGCCAGCGTGAAACAGGTGCCTATTTTGCTTTTCCCCGCAGTTGTTACTTTTCGGTTACCGTATATCATGAGCTAATTTTGAATGAAATTTTGTGTCAGTTGAAATGTTTGGCAGAATTATCTGCCGCGACGTTTTAGTTCGTCTTTTTTTCTTGCGCCTAGAAAATGGAGAAAACTATTGAAAGGTTTTCTTATTTCCAGCGTTCACAAATAGAAAGCGTCACTAAGACCTTTTATGAATGCTTTTTTTTAAACAGCATTCTTTTGAATTCCTGATAGAGGAAAAACATTTCCTACTGTTGGGATGTTCTTCTTTACCTCACGAGCGAATCGAATTGAGTTTGTGAAAAGCCTGAATGGAACGCCGTAGAAACCGTATCAATCAAGAACGTCTTTCAAGCCGCTTTGTGTCAAGGAAATCGTTGGCTTTTAGTCTCGCAGAATCCTTGGTTCATGGATGGTTCTTTTGAGTCTTACTGAAGTTGGGCGCAATATTTCTTTCACGTTTTTTTTTCTTATGGAATTGAAAAAAATATTGGAGGTTAAGATGAGGAGAACTTTCGACTAAGGCGTCTCTTTCGGATGAAGCTTAAGGTAATCATTAATTTGCGATTCCGTATTCTGATATTTATGCATAGTCGTGTCAGCAGAGATGCTCAAGAAAATTCGCGGTATATTTAACCCCGGCGAAACTCAAAATTCCTCCATTTGGAGGTTGAGAACGCGCTTCAAGGTCCGGAAAATCTGGCCTCTTCATCACAGTTCTGTTTGAAAATGCATAAAATGGCAATAGCCTAGGAGTATAGTGTAAGTCGAGGTATTTCATCTTTAGTTTAAATTCCGTGTACGACGCGATGATATAGAATCGCTGGAAGCCAAGTTCCTCACGTGTTTCGCTGCAAGAAAATATCCGAGTTTTTTTCGTAGCATCGTCTTTATGGCGCAACGGAAAAATTGCTAGGTTCCGGCGCCTACGGGATTCCCTTTTTCGGTGGGCCTCGGGATGCCAGCCTTACCTTTGTTCGCTTTTTCGGGATCTAGGAGGGATTAAATTTCCTCGGACTTGTTCACAACCTGGAATCACGCACGGATTGCGTTCCTCTCTGTACGCACACCCACGTGAAGGTATCGCAACCGAATCTTTTTTTTTTTTTTACCTCGACCTTGCTGGTTGTGCTCACATGCATGGTGTTCATGTTTAGGGTGTCCGAAAAGTTGCTGAGCAGCAGCAATTTTATAATTCGTTTGATGAATTATTTTCATGTGGGGGAAATGTCTTCGGCATTCACGGTAGCGTATTGAATTTCATATTGTGAAATCCCAAGTTCCACCTGCTTTTGTTTTTATCTGGAGTGCACATGAACATTCCTGCAGTCGCAAAAAGCGAATTTTCTTGGGTGCCTAAGAAAATTCCCGAATTACGAAATCTCAACTGAATCTAGTAAAACGAAAAATTGTAAAGACAAATTTTGAAAATTGATGCAGTGAATCGTTGCTGGAAGGAGATTGCTATGTACATGTACTATACTGCAGTAAAATCTCGTTACAACAAATCGTGTTTTAGCAAATTATTGCTTACAACAGATTTGATTTTTTGGCCCCCGTCCAACAGCCATATTATTAATTTAAATTCTTTTTGACATAATTTTTTATAACGAAGGTATTTTAAAGGTCCCAAACGATTCGTTGTAACGAGATTCTGCTGCCTAACGTAATTTTTTTAATACTGTACTGTACTTGGAGCGGATAATTTTTGTCCTTTTTTTGAAGAATTGTGGGTTTTTCTGTTTTTTACTCATTTACAGTATTTTACATTTCGGAACTGCGAAATCTGGTATGTAGGGGTTTTATTGGGGAGCTCAAAATATACCGTGTTCTAAATGAATTTCTGAACGAATAATGAGGTCAGTTTTTTCTGCCTCCTGTAAACGAACATTTTTAAACTTTCCTGACATGATTACTGTACTATTTTTCTGTTGAACTCCTGCGTGCGTTTTAACGAACATTTGAAACACCGAGTCAACTTTTAGGACACCCTGTGTAAATTCTTCTTGTTCTCGTGTAAAAAAATGTTTGTCTTTTTCCTCCCTTGCCCTTGATTGTGAATTCCTTGACGTTGAAATCGTGCAGCTATGGAAAACCAGGGGTGGAGTTCTACGGACAACACAAGAATGGAGAAGCCGCCGTGACGCAAATATTCTTCCTCAGCAATCAGGTGAGTTCGTGTTCCATGTACCTGTACTTTGTTTCGTGTCGGCGACTTGGGTGAAGTTGAGCCGATGTAAAAGTTTTATTAGCGGCGCGTTTCGCCATTGCTACCATGTTGGATGAAAAGGGGGGGGGGGGTTCGAATTGGGTCAGGCTTTTTTCCCTTCCAAGTTTGGTCGAAAAGTTTCCGTGGAAATTTCCAGATTTTCCTGCGAGATTTTCCAGTGGCCTCGATACTCTGCAAATACCGGAAACCCGTTGAAATATGAATCCGGAGCCAGATATTTTAACAAGTTCCCCTTCTTACTCGTTTTATCTGACTTGTGGAAAAATCGTCGCGTTTAATCTCTCTGGCGAAGGACTTGGCATGTGATTAAAACCGGCGCTTGGTTAGTTTGGATCAGTTTATGTTTGCGTCTGATTAAAGTTTAAAATAGAAATAAAAGCCCTTCCAACTCTTTTCGACGGCCGCTTTTTTGCACCTATGTGCCATACAGTGCGATTGCGTGCAACTCGCTCGTGGGGTTTCTCGCAAGTTTTTCTGGCTGAAAATGACCCTACGTGGCTTGTATAATAAAAACATTTTACAACGCAAGCCGGAACATTTCAGGTGTATTCGTCGTGATATTGACAAATTTCATTGGACTTCTCAAGTTTATGACTGCCGTGCTGATGAAATTATTTTCCCCAAACTCGTCAAAAGCAAGAATTTTATGTTTTGTTGCGATGAAAAATGTCATCGGAATTGTATTGCCTTGAGTACGATTTTCCAACAGTGCATCAGCATTTGAAATTGTTTCCTTTTGCTGTGAAGTTAATTTTCCACTCGTTAAGGCGACTTGAGTCATTCCGAAGCTGTACCTTTGCGAAGGAAGAAAACATAAATTCCCCATCATCGTGATGACCTTATATGATGGCCTTGCAAGAACTAGCTTGAGCGAACACATAACCTGTGCTGAGTAAGTAATATCGGAAGTGGTACAATTTTAGCTATGCTTTTTTATTCGTTTTGCTTCCCATCTAAGCTTGGAGATTTGGTTTTTGGAAGAAATCGAAGAACATTTCAGAAGGAGAGCAAGTGAGAAAATACCGTATTTACGCAAGTACCCCGCACACCATTTTTATTTTTCAAGAAATTGGCGCAAAAAGTGAGGAGCGCGTCATGAGACAAATTTTCGAGTTATATTTGTTTAAAATTTGAAAAATTTCTCCCCACTTTCAAAAAATTTTCAATTATCTTCTTTGATGATTACATGATTTTTATGAAAGATCCATTGACTTTGATTTTTACCTGATGGTACTGTAGTTTTTAAAACTTAAAATTTTAGTTGAGTACTGTACCTGAAAGCTTCATATGCGCATCTTATGCGGGGATAATTTTACTATAATTTTCCAAAATGTGCGCTAAAAATCAAGGTGCGCGTCCTACTCGATTAAATACGGTAAATTGCGTTCTGCTCTAGTCTTCGAGGATAGCATGAGAATTTTTTTTAGGTAGTTGTAGGATTTTTGATAATTCCCTTGTCCATGGGAAGGACTGACAGACGTGGGGCGACCTTTCTCCCCTCTCGGTTTGCCATTCGGGATCGTGTGAAAAATACATCAAGTACGGAAACACGAACCGGAATAGAATGCATAAATTGCGTGACGCGTCGAGGGTCGTCCCTATTTTTTTTTCCTCTTCTCCCTTTTTCTATATTGGTCGGTTCATGCCGATTTCCCCCTTAGCGACGCTAATGCGCACCGTTCTTGACGGGGATGAGTGATGGAGCTCTTAGCAATTATTCGCGCAGACCTCGATATTGACTGGTGTGATCACGCGATCGGGTGTACCGAAGAACTAGTTGACCTAATTACTAGTCTGGACTATTCGGGGTTTCCGGCTGAGCTCCGATGGCATTGTCCTAGATTCGGCGCGTGCTTTCGTGATCCCTGCGATTTGCACGTTTGCTGTGAACTTGCAACAAGTTTTTTTTTTTTTTTGGACGACATGGCGACGAGGAGCTGCATTTTATTATCTTTAGCTGAATATTATCTTTTACTTCGCATTCCTTCCTGAGTTGGGGAATTTTCATTTATTTTCCCCCCTCTTGTCTGTTGAATGGACGCGAGGCGTGCCTGTGGCCGATGACCTTTTTGCCCCACGAAGATTCTTGTTACTCGAGAAGCTTGGGAGGATTTGAATTTTAAACAGGACTTTGTTGTAAAGTATCATGAGAGTGATGAAATATTCTGTCATCGCCGAAAAGCTGAAAACGAATGATGTGTACACGGAGCACGATGTTTTTTTTTTCAAGTGCATCGTGTTATTCATTTTCGTATCTTTTCCTGGCTAATCGCGATGAAATTTAAAGTTTAATGCATTAGCTGAATATGCTTATGCTAGAGACGAGTGTGATGAATATTTTTTTATGGATTCTTTGATATTTTACTGCCGTTAAAAAAAAAAGTTTCGTATGCCGTTAGGCTCTTCTCAGTGATACTCAGGGGGCGACCATCAATTTTTTGTTGAATATCGTTGTTGAGGCGCTGCTTCTAAATTACTGGAATTTCCATTTATTTCGGGACCTTGCAAAACAGTCGTTCGAAGAATACTGTTGCATAAAAGACAGAGCACACCTGTATGATTGTATTTCCTTGTTCATTACCTTTCCAGCATAACGCCATGTCATAGAGTAAGCCAACGGTAAGTTCAACATGCTTTTCTTATTATAAATAAACGTCATTACTTAAATTACCGCAACAAGTATCACTACATGTCATAACATGACTTGTGTTACACGTTTTGCCGTTTTACGCATTCGTTAAGATAGCAAAGATACAATTATGGGAATGTTTCATGTGTTGGCGAAAGTTCGAAAATTTTCACGTTAATATAGCCTGAGCTAAAGTATTCGATTTGAAACTGTAACTCATTTTTTAATGAGTCTATTTTGGAGACATGGCTTAATTTAATTCGAGGATCATATTTTCGACCGAACATATTTGAGATGGTCCTGTCCTTTTTTAAATCATTGTTTTATGTTCCGGATTTTGTTGGAAGAACCGGAAATTTAAAATTCGCGTCCGAAACAACTATAAGGCTTATGGAGTGGCTCAAGCAGTAGCCACTTTAGACAAAGCGAAAGAATGGTCATGCTCTAAGGGAAATAAAGTATCGGCAAAATTTCATAAGTATGGAAGTGTAATGGATAGCCGTCTGTCCGATTACCCCGCCGTTTGGAACCCCCGGTCGGTGTTCGTAAAACCAGGGCACAGTACTGGCTCTCTAGTTCCATTTTGGAAAACCCGAAATCGATTCTGGTGCGTTTGTCGAGAAGTGGGATAACGGGTGTGGGGTGGGGTTTTTGTATTTATTGAAGGTGCGTCAGACGGACTTGTTGGGGTAGCCAGCATGTGGTTGCGTAGAAGTTGCAGGGAAAAGGGCCAGTGGTTCAGTTTTTACGGCTCCGATCCCGACGGCTGATTAGACGTCGGCGGGTTCCCCGTGGGGAATTCCGCGAATTTGCGAGTCTGGGGGGCTCTCGGCAAGTTTGCGGATTGTCGTTGTTGGTTGCTTCTTGAAGAGATACTGTAATGCTATTATTAATCTAATCTAACCTAAGTCTTGGTCGAGTAACTTGTTCTCATCTTTTTTTTTGTGCAAAATTTCATCTGCATATCTTGGACCCGACCTTCGGGTATCTTTCGATGCATCGCAAATTCATCTGTAATGTACCGTATAATGTAATCAATACGCAGCTCATCTCGAGAGTTCCTCCGTGTTATAAATGTGCAATGTCGCATCTTTCTGCAAATCGGAAACCGACGTCTTCAGGACGGACCTTTGCATTTTTTTTTTCATCTCGGGAAAGGAACGCTTACGTAAAAGAAGCCCAATTTAAAAAAGCGTACATTTAACTTTACTTAATGTATGTCTTTAAGGTAAAAATAAGTTCACCTTTTGACAAAGTACACACTTCGAAAGAAAGCTAAAACAAATTCGAGAAAAATTAGTTCCCAGGAACCACCGAGGACTAGAGAAAAATATTTTTTTTTCGGAATCACCCAACCTTATTTTTAAATTAACCCGCGTCTTTACAGAATCGTATCTAATCTAACCTAAGTTTGGCGTTATGAGATGTTAAGAAATGCGGGCTACGTAAATATAATGAGCGAGAAAATCGCGAGTTTAGGACTTCTGACGTTGCCAGAAACCTCCAATATGTAATTAATTTTTATCGAGGTCGTGCGGAGGATTTAAAATGTAAAGCGGGGCTTTTCTCTGGGAATTTCCAAGAAAATTTTAATTCTTCGCCATTTACTGCTGGACTTCGCTGACGAAAATACCCGACAGGTTTCGCCTGAATCACTAACTAAATTTGTCTAATTTAGTCCATCCAAGATGAACGAAGACAAAATGAGCTTGAAGAAATGTGAGACACAATGCTTGGGGAAAGTTTACTACTGTATTGTATGTATAACGACAAAGGAAATAGCCCAGATTGGGAATTTTGCTGTTGCAATAAAAGTAACCAAAACGTATCCTTGCGCATGAGCTTTTTTGTGCTGAAGCTGTACCTGACAGTGAACCAAAATTCACGCCGAGATTTATCGCGGAAGTGCTTTTATTGCTTTGAATTATGTGGTTGCGGTACTTGAAATTCATGTGCGCCACGGGCAGTCCAGCTGCGATAAGTTGGATGAGGCTAATTTGCATCTTGGAAGTTTAGTACTATTTCACTTCCTTTTTTTTGAAGAAGTCCTTTCGAAAATAAAAGAATTGTACTACGATAGGCTTGATGAAAAGTTGACCCAATTTTTGTACCAGACCTTGGGGTATCCTTCCTCTAGTCTAGTGTGACTCGGGGTTGTGGGTGATGAATTTCCTTGCGAATGCATTTTCTTCGGGTTAAATTTTTTCGCATGTAAATTGAAATGAATTACATACAGAAATTCCATTTTTATTCAAGTGGAAAACTGTTTCATGTGTGAAGCTTTCTTTCGATTTTAAAATTCGAGAAAAATTAGTTCCCAGGAACCATCCAGGACTAGAGTAAAAAATATTTTTTTCGGAATCACCCAACCTTATTTTTAAATTAACCCACGCCTTTACAGAATCTTATTCAATCTAACCTAAATTTGGCGTGATGAGATGTTGAGAAATGTGGGCTACGTCAATATAATGAGCGAGAAAATCGCGAGTTTAGGACTTCTGACGTTGCCAGAAACCTCCAATATGTAATTAATTTTTAACGAGGTCGTGCGGAGGATTTAAAATGTAAAGCGGGGCTTTTCTCTGGGAATTTCCAAGAAATTTTTAATTCTTTGCCATTTACTGCTGGACTTTGCTGATGAAAATACCCGACAGGTTTCGCCTGAATCACTAACTAAATTTGTGTAATTTAGTCCATCCAAGATGAACGAAGACAAATTGAGCTTGAAGAAATGTGAGACACAATGCTTGGGGAAAGTTTACTACTGTATTGTATGTACAGTATAACGACAAAGGAAATAGCCCAGATTGGGAATTTTGCTGTTGCAATAAAAGTAACCAAAACTTATCTTCGCGCATAAGCTTTTTTTTGCACTGAAGCTGTACCTGACAGTGAACCAAAATTCACGCCGAGATTTATCGCGGAAGTGCTTTTATTGCTTTGAATTATGTGGTTGCGGTACTTGAAATTCATGTGCGCCACAGGCAGTCCAGCTGCGATAAGTTGGATGAGGCTAATTTGCATCTTGGAAGTTTAGTACTATTTCACTTCCCTTTTTTTTTAAAGAAGTCCTTTCGAAAATAAAAGAATTGTACTACGATAGGCTTGATGAAAAGTTGACCCAATTTTTGTACCAGACCTTGGGGTATCCTTCCTCTAGTCTAGTGTGACTCGGGGTTGTGGGTGATGAGATCAGCCAGTAGGGGAGAGGGGAAGAGCTCATCGACCAATCCACTGAAACCCTCCTGGTGCAGGTTCGACTGCTCAGGGTTCTTTGCTATAAATGTCTAACGTTAAAATTTGTTAATTGTTTCCTTTATTTTTATAAAATGCTTTTTTTTCGGATCCTTTGTTTCGAACGTTGAAAAATTGAGACCGGTACTGCTGTGAGCCTCGTTTGCGATGCTAACGCGATGCTGTGGCCTAGTTTTGCTGTACGTATTCAGCGGATGCCGATTTCCTTCCCCCGATGGCACAGACGCAATTCTAATTTTGCTTCGCAGTTTTTAATGTATTTTTGGTTGTTATTTTATCTTTCTGCGAGCCACAAAAAAAAGCTCGCAAGAAAATGCGTTCTTCCTGCCTGTGCTGAAGTTCATCTTCGAAAAATGTAACCACTTTTTCTCGCATAAAAATGAAGGCTTTCTATTGAATACAAAAAATCCGCTGTTCTGAAATGTCGGTGGTACGAATATCCGGTGGAAGCAAAAATTGTGCAGGTTAATATGAAATGGAAGAGTTGGTGACATGCTGTAAATCCTGAGAGAAATTCTTCAAGGCTTTCTTCCAGGCATGTTGAAAAAAAATATTTCTTCTTTTCGAGATAATGATCATTTTTGTGGCTATTTGAATTACTGTTTATTATTCTTTGACTTGAGTTTTTTCCGAGTTGGGATTTTTATAACTGATTTTTGTAAACACGTAATTTTGTACGGCATTCTGTGACAATGTTATCAAAATTCCTGTTCCTTGGGGAAGAATGAAGAGGTAGACTGTATTCGGGGATTTTTTCTTTCGAAATTTACAACGAAGGAAAGCCTAATCCGTTGCCAAGAGCGTAGGGATCTCTTCAGTGTGCTTGTACAATGAATCACGTTTTTATCTCGTCGAATATCCTTGAAGGATGCCCGACCCAATCTTCAGAAGGGAATATAGTACAGGGGTGTGTAAACGATAACAAAAGGGTTTTTTTCTCAGTCTACATTCTTTTGTCAAGTGTAAGTCGGGAAAACCTAATTTTTCAAGAATGATGAATGATTACATTCTTGGAACTGATTAACCTCCGTTGACATTTTTTTTATCGATACTGTTGAACAACGATGCGGATTTTTCTTGTTTTTTCGTCGTCGAAGCCGGATTTAATAAGTTTGGGTTTCTATTTAATCGCGATTTATGACTGGAATGTTTTCTCAGCCAACAGTTTGAAGTATTAAATACGTTAATGGAAGCTGTCGACGTACTTGTACTTCCGAGAATGAATAAATTCAGCATGTCGTAAATTTCAAGTAAAAAGAGCCAAACCCACGAAATATCCTTGAATAAATGAAGTACGCCATTCGGTGTGATGTTGAAAGGACTCCATAAAAAATGCACATCTCTGCATCATTAGAGGCTTTTTCAAATGTAAAATGAAGATTTTGTTAAATGTAAATAACGTTTTGGGACTCTTTTGACGTTCAACTAATTCGTGTTCAGTTTATTTTTGTTGCTGCCGTCAAAAGTGATCCGTCATGCGTAACGCGAGGTTGAATCTCTTCATCATGGATATTTTGAAGTCAAGAAATCGAGGTATTCAGCGACAAAAAATGAAGGACACAGTACGTGAAAGCACATGCAGTACTTGATAATAAAACCTTGTTTATCTGGGATCATAGTCATTTTCAATTTACTGCACAGAATTCCCAGCATTAAACATTGAGGATCTGAAGAAGAATACTGTATTCGACACGAAGTTGGTTTTTATGGCAGTGCTGCCGAGAACCCGAAGGACGTGAATATCACCCAAACCAGTCGGCAAATACAAGATTAGGATGTTTATACTAGACAAGCACCTCCAAGTTTGTTACGTGCAGCTTGTTTAATTATTGACACAAAAGTTGGGTCCATGGATTAGAAAACAAAATATTTCTGGCTTTTGCGTCAATGCCGACAGTGGTAATGGCATGTTCGTGAGAACGATGTTGTCCACTAGCCGTACATCTGGTTAATTTGTCGGAATAATTTTCTTCAACTCCCGTAATGTTGTCAAGAATGAGTGAAACTCGGAGATGCTGAGCATATGTTTGTAATGATTTTGTTTTGTCCTGCGAATAAATATCTGTGTACAGTATTATTACTTTTTGCATGTTACACTAGAACATGGTTGGCAAGGGTTATTCTGCAATGCATTTTGTCTACATTCTAATCTGATTGAAACAAGACAAACGATTGAATTTTTTGCCCATAATGCATTATCTGGTTTGAATAGTCGTTTCTTCAAGATCAGCAGATATATTATTTGAATTTGTTCGCAAAAGAAAATTTTTTAAAGGTAACTAAACTTACGCTGTCTTAACGAATGCTCGAATGATTAGGTTTTCAGTCCCTAGAATTATAGATCAAAGTTAAAAAGGATTTTTGAACAAATGTTGCATAGGTGAAATAGGCGTGGATTATCTTTGAGAAATGAATGATTAAAATGTGTAGATCAGCGCGGAGAAGCTTTAACATCGAGTTATTGTAAGTTCCATTATATTTCGCGTGCAGTTCAAATGTACTGTATTATGGTGTGTCCTTGATTCTAGTTTAAATCATCGTCATTTTTTTTTGGTTTTTTTTTTTTTTGAGGTGGTAAGGCAACAATGTCTTGTCTTGAAATGTGGTACCACCCAGAGCGAGGTTGAAAACTCTCGCTGCTTTGTGGTTCTAGTTGATGAAAAATCCCTTGGTTCATCTTTTGTTATTAACGTAATTTCTAGTTGTATCTGCGACTCGAAAGGTTTTGCTGACGTTGCTGTATCTCCGGCGTAATCATTCCATGGATCGTTTATTTAGCTTGTTGAATAGTGGCGTATTTACTGCTTGAAGCCACGCGGTTCCCCGCTGGCATTTGTCGCGGAACGATTCGAGTTTTACACCGCGTGTCGTTTTCCTCTCGGCTGCCACCGTCTGTTTGTGCGGGACAAACGAAAGCATTTAGCGTTTTGTTTGAAGAAGGAGCGCCGCCGCCGCAGGCGCCAGTTTTTCAATGCGCCGGTTTTTGTTGAAATGATTTGCAGGGACGTCTGGTGACGCTGTGCGACGATAACTCTTTGCATCTCTGGGAGCTGAACGAAGAGGAGGACGAGGCGGACGGATGGGTTCTGGAGGAGATCAAGGAAGTGGCGCTGGAGGGCAAGTTGAAGCGGATTTCGGCTTGCTGCTTGGAGCGGTCTGGAGACCATTTGCTTATCGGCACGGAAGGTGGCAATATTTACCTCCTTGACCTCAAGTCGTTCGAGATGACCGAGCAGATCATTTATCAAGACGTTGTGCTTCAAAAGTGAGTCGTGCGAACTAATGCGCCGTCTCGAGTTGCCACTTGTGACGAGGGGTGTCTCTCATTTCAGAGGGGGCATTTTAGAAAGAAAAATAAGAAAGAATTCAACTGCGAGCCGTCTGGAAAATTTATTATCGAGATGATTCCCTTTTCCCCCACGCATGTTTATTTTTTATTTTTTTATTTGACATGGCAACTTCTGACGATTCAACACGGCTTTAAAATGTGATAAAGGTGGACTCTAGAACGAAAGTCAAGGGACCAGAAAAAATTATTTGTAGAGATAGTTTCGATGTAAAGAACCTCTATAACATTGGAAGAAACCCCTATTGGTCCAAACATAAATTCGTTTTGCAGAGAAGCTCTTCTTTTAAAAAATTTGTCTGGTCCCTTGAATTTCGTTGCAGAGAACCCCTATAAATTGGGGGGAGAATCTTTTGGGATGAAACATATTTATTATACAGAGAACATCGTTGTAGAAAAGGTTTGAATCAGTTTCTGAGAAAAGTTGTTTGTGCAAGAATTCCGCGGAGTTATCAAAAATAAATGATAACTCTTAACTCGCGGATTTATGCAAGGGGTTAAGAATAACGCGCTGAAGAAAATTTGAATTCAGTACTGACATTTATCGAGACAATCGTTTGTTGGGAAACGATAATGTACATCGCCCTTCTATTGCTCAAAATACTGCCTAAAAAAACTAAAAATTATCCACCCGTCTTGTCACACTGACATATCCCTCTTCAATTTAAAAGCCACTGCAAAAACGGCAGTTTCCAATGTTTTTTGGTGGATAATTTTCGTCAACGAGGGAATTCGTTAATGCATCACGGTTTGGTAATTCAGTGCAATATATTTTGAGCCTCAAACAGCAATTGAGCGAGTTCCTTTGGTAAAAAAAATCTCGGTTCCAGATTTCTCGAAGCATCATATTTTTCCGTAAAAAAAAGTGGAACTTCCTCGCGAAGGATTTCCACGGTGATCAATTTCACCGAAAGTGCGCTGAGGGGTTTCCGAAGTACCCAGTATGTGCGTAGAATCGTATTTCTAGGCATCGCGAGGAAGGAAATGTTTTATTTATTCATTTTTTGTAGAGTTTACGTTACAATTTCGTCAAGGCTATTGAGGAAGGTGTTTCGCTTGAATATGAGGCTCTTGTTCGATGGTCCGTCCTTCTATCCATCTCTCCAAACCTTTTTTTGATCGCATTTTTTGTTCATCCTCGAGGAAGGTTGGATGGCTTTATCAGCCCAGAAGCTTTCGAAACTACTTACCAGCCGTCAGGCCAACAGAATGAGATCTTGATCAGCCTAGAAGCCGATTTAATATGCGAGGGATGATGACGGGTCATAGCGTGATCGGATTGAAGGATTGATCGATTTTTCGAGGGAAATGAACTGTCAACAAATGCTTCTTTTTTATTTCATTTTTCCAGCGTTCCTGACGATTACAAGGTGAATCCGGGCGCAGTTGAGGCGATTGCTGAACACCCGACCATGGAAGATAAAATATTGATTGGCTATAATCGTGGACTAAGTGTTTTGTGGGACAAGAAGGAAACGCAAGCCAGTAAGGTAAGGAAAAACATACGCGGGATTCTTGTTGCTGATGAGGGATCAGTTTTGGGGGGGTAGGGTTTTGAAACCTTGCTGCTCCGTGTGATACTGTTGTGCGGTGGGGATAATTCCTAATCCCGCGTTTTGTTGCAGACATATGTGAGTTCTCAGCAGCTGGAAAGCTTGTCCTGGAACGAGGATGGCACGCGCTTTCTTTCGTCGCACAACGACGGATCGTACATTGAGTGGGACGCGGAAGAGCCGAGCAAAGCTGGAAATCCAACCACTCCGTTCGGACCGTTTCCATGCAAGGCCATCTCCCGCATTCTTTGGAAAATCAACACCGAGTACGTGCTTTTGTCTCGAAATTTACCGTTGCAGAATAATTTTCATACAAGAAATTACAATGTTCTGTAAGGTATTTTATTTCTCTTCTCCTTACTTCGTCTTTACGAAAGTGCGGTTTTCTCGTTTATATTCTGCAACCCGTGGACTTCGAAACGGGCGAATTTTTGTAGCAACCGTTGTACACTATTGTGCCTCTTTTGACTTTGAACTCCCAAGATTCAAGAATCCAGATCTTAGTCAGAAATCCGGAGATGTTCCAGAATTTAATCATAATGCTTCTCTAAATTCCGTTTTATAAAGCCGCTTGGTTTATCTGGGCGTCTTTTGAAGTACAGTTGAACCTCGATAACTCGAACCTCCCTGTGTCGATTCTTTAAAGTCACTGTCTGAAAATTCTCTTGGAAAAAATTCATTAAAAACCACCTCAGCTGAACGGCTTTCCCCCTTAAACATCCGTATCTCGAATTTCTGGACGCCTTTTGGCTATCATTTTTTGAGAACAGGAAGGATAAAAGAACTAAAAATGTAACGATGTGTTTTGAAAGGAAATAGAAGATGTAAGTGGACCAATTACTTTGCCTCTCAAGTTCAGCATTCTGTCAGCTCAATGAAGAAACAATTTAAGAGCCAGAATATCACGAATAACAATTTCCTGCAATTCTTTCTTATCTTTCCCCGTGACAAAAATGCTTGTTTCCATGACTCACAACCTCTCCAACTCAAAGTTTTCTGTTGGTCCCTTGAAATACGACTGGAAGAGTTGCGAGTGTACATTGTAGGAAAATATAAATATCATTCTCTGTCTTTAGAATAGCTTTTGTTTTAACGTGGAGCCTCAGGATGGAAAATACTGTAGTCCGAAGGAATCTACAATCTTTCACGATCTAACGATGGTACTTCCTGGTTTAATAGGGGTGATCTGAAGATTTTCAGTGGCGGAATGCCTCGCGCTTCTCACGGAGATAAGAACACCGTGACGCTGGTACAGAAGTCGAAGACAATTGCTTTGGACTTTACATCCAAGGTCGTGGACTTCCTGACGATACCGAACGCAGGTTGGATATCCGGTGTCTCGAAAATCCTCGTCTTGCGGTCGATCCACTCATTTCTTCTTTAATTTTCATTTTTCTGCAGCTGGAACAGCCGCTGGCTCGCTGATAGTACTTGTGGAGGAAGAACTGATTGGAATCGATCTGGAGGACCCGGCGTGGCCACAGTTGAGGTTACCATATTTGGCGCCGCTCCACGCATCGCCAGTCACCGCCACACATGTCGTGTCTGGCGTTTCCGCCGACGTGATGCACAAGATTCGTGATGCCGGGGAAAAACAAAGCGAAGGGCTGTCAACGAAGGTTGGTTGACCGGGGAGTCGGGAAACACCACATCTAAATTTGTTTCGCGTTGCATTCTTTTGGTTCCTTTCGAATTTTATTGCGTTCCCCCAATCTGCAAGTACTGTACTGTGTTTTTCCCTGGAAATCGGACAGGTTATATACTTTTCTTTCTCCACGCCGAAAGAAAAACTAAACTCTATCTTCAGGGTAGCTTTGTGGAATGAACTGGGAATTTTTGATCGAATTTCTACGTTCTCGAATTACAGAAACCATGAATAGAATCACAGGAACAGGCCTCTGGATTATGTTCCCAAATTTTCCGTTAATCCAGTAACTGCATAACTTTTGCACTGTATTACAATTTTAATTTGTATGTTCCTCCCTTCCAAGTAATTTTTCGTCAAGATAAGCTAAACAATGCAGAATTCATATTGGAAGAATTTTGAGGTTTTTTGTAGGAATTTCTGGTTTCTGTTCTCAGGAGAAAGCACGAAATTTACATGAATACGTCCCAGTCTCTTTCGCGAAATCCAAAAGCGTATTAACTTGTTGCGGAATGTATTTCAAATGCAGGAATGGCCAGTTAATGGAGGAAAAACCATTGGGGATATTGTGGAGGAAGAAGGCACCGTTTTGGTCACTGGTCACGAAGATGGAACTGTTCGTTTCTGGGATGCCGGACGCGTTGCTATGTGCCCGTTGATGACATTCAAGAGTGCCGGCACGATGTTCTTGTCGGAGACGGAGGATGAAATAGTACCAGCTGGGGAAGATAATATTCCGTCTGCAGACCAAGACCAGCAAGACGATGAAATGTGGCCCATGCGGAAGGTTAGTTATTTTATATTGTAATCTCATTTTTCATCCATTTTTTCATTGTTTCCTGGCTTATTTTTATGCATGTTCTAGATTGGAAGTTTTGATCCGTTTTCGGATGACCCGAGGCTAGCTATCAAGAAGATTTTCTTCTGCCCTCGTTCGGGAAATCTTGTCGTGGGAGGCACTGCCGGACAAGTCGTAATCGCTCAGCTATCCGAGGAAAAGATCGCCGATGGAAAAGTGCAGGTGCATTATTGAGATTTTCCCCCGAAATTTTAGGCGTTTTGTTCAGAATCTTGTACAATCGCGAAAAATCGAAGTCATTTGCCCATGGAAAACTTGAGAATTTAGGGAAGGTTGAAGAATCCGGAATTCGTTGGAAAGAAAGTCATCTCGACTCCAAATTATTTTTTCCGTAATTTTTTTTAGTATTCCAAAGTATAAATATGCAGAGATTGAAAGAATTAAATCTTTGTGTTAGGTCAACGTTGTTGAATTGGTCGCCGATGTGGATGGATTTGCGTGGAAGGGACATGAAGCCCTGAAGGTGAAATCTGCCGCTACGAATGGAACCATGAAATTCGAGCCTGGGTTGCAGAGTGTGGCCATTGTCCAACTCCAGCCTCCAGCGTGTGTTACAGCCCTGACTGCGAGCACTACTTGGGGAGTAGTTGCTGTCGGTACTGCGCATGGTTTCACCCTGTTTGATCGTCTCGCCAAGAAAGCCGTCGTTGTTAAATGCACGCTGAATCCGCATGGTGAGTAAAAGCTCATTTTTCTTGTCCGGTAGTTTAAAATGACTGTATGGAAATACAAATACTGTATTGTGCATATATATATATTTTTACCATTTTTCGTTGACAAGATTATGCTGGAGGAGCTGGAGACGCGCCGATGTCCCGCAGGAAGTCATTCAAGAAATCTTTGAGAGAATCGTTTAGAAAACTTCGTAAGGGAAGATCTGCTGCCCCGGAAGCTCCGGCAAACAAGAGGAGGACTGCGACTCGAACAGCGTAAGTTGAAATCGAGTACTGCATTGTTCTTAAGATCACACGTGTGTTGAGTTTTATGAGACCAGGCAATCATTAAAATCTTGTCTTACTCTGAATCATGGGCCCTGTTCGAAATCGTGTATTACTGCTTCTCGTCTTTCTCATTGTTCCATTATTGTGGGAAGGACCATTCTTCGCATTAACATTCGCAATGCAATTTGGGGGAAAAATGTTTATATTAACCGCTTCTTAATCTCTTGACGCAATCTGTTGGGGAAGCTTTTTGCGCTTTTTTGGAGTGGAGTAGTTGTTTTTTGATGATAAATGGGAAACCAAATGCAGAAGTGAAGAGAAAGAGAGTCCTAGAAAGGCCTCTACATCGGAGAAAGAAGGGACTGAAACTGAAAAGCCAGAGAAGCTTGCTGAAGTGACGGAAGAAAACAAGGCTGAGGATGAGAAAAAGGAACAGGAGACGGAGGGAGAAAAGACTGATGAGAAGAAGGAACCCGAGAAGGACGAAAAGGTGGATGAGGAAAAGAGTGGCGAAAAGCAACCGGATGAAGGAGCAAAAGCAGAGGAGCAGAGGTAACAGCCTGCGATTCGGCATGGAGCACGTCTCTGGGCGTGCATGTGGGCATGGAAGGCAGCAGGCTGCAGTTTCAGCGTGGCGTTTACGTTTGTGTTTTCCTTCTGCATGGTTCCAGCGTATTCTTTTTCCTGTACAAAAATATCGGTGGATCGTTCGGCATTGATGAACTTTTTTTTTTTTTTTTTTTGGTGGAGACGTTCATGGGGTTTATTTTTGTTCAAGTTTTTTTTCATCTATCTTCGTTGATGTGGCTACTTTTTAGGAATCAGTCGTGTTTATGTTTCACCGTGTAATTCATAGCACCTTTTATTGACTTCTCCCACCCCCTCAAGAAAAAAAAACCTTTCTCTAAATTTCTTGCCGTCGTTTTGATTTTACAGGGGTGCTCAAGCAGATGACGAGGCTGGGAAAGCAGGTGCTTCTACCCCGAAGAAGGAAGTAGTTGAAGTCGGTGAAACAAAACCAGTCGAACGTCAGATTGAAGCGCGATCAGCAGATGACACGTTCACGGGTTTAATTCGATGCTTGGCTTTGGTTGATTGCAACCTCCTTTCACGTGAGTGTGCTTCATCATATCACGAGGAATGCCATTAATTTTCAATTTTTCCTTCTCAACAGTTAATACCAAGACGCCGACATTTTGGGTGGGGAACAACAGTGGTGCTATTTTTATCTACACCTTGAGTTTCCCGGCTGCTGAGAAGAGATCAGAAAATGCAGTTTCTGTTAGATTGGGTAAGCTTCGCATGTGTTGAAAAGTTTGGATTGTCTTTACTGACAGTCTAACCTCCTTAAGTCAAATTGAAGGAGCCAGAAAAAAAATCGAGTTAGGGAATCAAGAATTTTGTGGAGGAAGAATAAAAAGAATTACAGGGAATTGTAATGGTGATATTTTAGGCCTTACATTGCTTCATAAAAGATCTGCCAGGATGCTGAATGTGGAGGCAAGGGTTCATTTGCCCAAGTAGTTTTCACTTCCTTTCAAAACGCACGCATGAATTCGCCTTTTTATTTGCATTTTTGTTTCCTGTGTCAATAATATAATCCCCGAAAGCCTCCGAAAAATTCAAATTACTTTAGTTGTATGTTTTTAATGCATTGTTTCTAAGAGAATTCAGACAAGGACTTGAAACAAATTAGGAAAAAGGGAAATATTTGACTTGAGAGATTTGCGTTATTGAGGTTCTTATGTATTCGTTATTTTCAAAAATTAGCCATGTGCATTAACGCTGAATTTAACTGAATTGTTTTTTTTTCTCTCCTCTCGCAACTCAGCAAAAGAAATTCAATTGAAGCACCGAGCTCCGGTCATGTCCGTCTCGGTTCTCGACGGAAATGTTCCGGTCGCCGAGTTTCCGAGCGAGCCTGAGGAGGTGATCAAGCCAGTTGAGCAATCCAAACCGGCTGAAGCCGCAACACCTGTTGCATCTGTTGAAGAATCCAAAGAAGTGAAGGAAGAGAAGGAAAAGGGTGCTGAAACTTCTGCTGAAACCAAAGAAGAGACGAAGAAGGAGGAGAAGAAGGAGGAAAAGCCACCTGCGCCAGTTGTGTCACACTCGAAACCCGCGTCGCATCCTGCTGCACATCCTAAAGTACTCATTTGCTCGGAGGAGCAATTCAAGGTGCCCTTCTGTTCTTCATTTACTCTTGATTCACGGGCGTTTTCTCGCCATTTCTCGATTAATCTTAGACCTTGATGGCATCATTAAGCGTCTCGCTTCGAGTCCACGGCTCATTAAAAATTAAAATGATGCCCTGTGATTTCTTTGCCACTTAAGCTTGATGGATGGTCTTAAAAATATATGGAGTTGACAGCTTGAAAGATTTTTGAATAATCATTCTTTTTTCTTTCTCCTCTGCGAAGATTTTTTCACTGCCGAACTTAAAGCCTCTTGGAAAGTACAAACTCACGGCCCATGAAGGTGCGCGAATTAAGAAGGTGCATTGGGCGAAATTCTCTGCCCCCATCCCTCCGTCGTCACCGTCCAAGACTGAATCGACCAAGAGACACGAAGAAATGTGTCTGATGTGTTTGTCGAACCAGGGAGATGTCTCTGTTTTCACCGTGCCAGATTTACGTCGACAAATGCTCGCAGATTGTGTGAGAAAGGAAGATATCAAGTGAGAAATTATCAGAAATTGTCTTTCTTCAAACAGAATTGTGAAATGCGGCAATTCACGCTCTCCTCAACCCAAAACGGGTTCAGGGATATGCGAACTCATAATTTAGGAATACTTTCCAAAGTAAAATGGAATACTTGAAAAAGGGGGGATCTTTCCATCAACTGAATAACCGCAAATGCTCGACTCCCTGGAGAGAAAGAATTTCCTATTTTTACGCTAGAGAATAATAATTCCATTTTTAAAATAAAGTTTCATGATACCTTTTTTCTTGTAGCGGAATGCTGTCGCTCAGTTTCACGTCGAACGGGGAAGCACTATACTTACAGTCATCCAGCGAGCTGCAAAGAGCAAGTTTGGCTGCCAATCACGCGATCGAGTCTAAATGCGGAGTTTGTCTGTTGCCTGATATGAGGCCGAAAAAGCAAGCGAAGGTTGAGTCTACCAAGACCGATGCTGAGAAAGTAGATGACGCGACGCACAGTGACAAGCACAATCAGTCTACCGGCAATGGTGATGTGAAAAATGAAAACAAAGAGATTGTTACAGAAGAATCGAAACTTGAGACGTCGCAAATGTCGACTGACATCACGATTGATTCCATCAAGGATCATGTTGGGTACGTACAGATAATTTTATTACTGTTTTATCCTTGACTTTTATCTCGAATGAAAATCATACCACTGTGAAGTATTATACATTTTTAAATTGTGTAAATGTCCAGATCAAGTTACCTGCATTAAAAACATGTTATTATTAATTAAAAACATAGAGGCGTAGAAGCTTTTGATAAAATGGTGACGTCAGTTTCTTGGTACTGTATTTGAGGCTTCTGTGTCTCGCTTTCACTACATTTTTCCGCCGCTGAAAATGTTAGCTCTTCCAGAGATTGATTTGATAATTTAGTGGGTAATTATATTTTTAGCTGGCATTTCGATTGATTTTCTGTGCGCACCTTTTTCTCTAGAAACTTGGAGACTAGCATTACCAAAAAGACGGAGATCAAAACCGAATCAATTTCGGAAAAGATTGAGGAAAGCATCACCATGTCAAAAATCACAACAATCAGCTCCGAGACCGTGAAGGTCCCAATCGCCGGAAGTAAGTGCAGTACAGTATTGAGAGAAAACTAATCAATCCGTCATTCCTTACAGTATTTCTTTTTCCTTTTTTTTTGTGTCGTGATTCACAGTGCTGTTGAAGATTGAAGTTCCTATTTATTCTGTATGATTCTAGCTAATCTCTACGATGCACTGCACAGCTTAAAACGCTTTTGAGAAACCGGAAACGCACCTTTTACTGAAAATGTTCTTTCTTTACGTGTCTATCGCTTTGATTCCAGGTGCGTTTCCCCCGAGTTTCTTCTCATCTGATGAGCACACTGTGGTTACCCAGAACTCAAGTGTCACGGTTCTTAATTCTGAGGTTAGCATTCGGCATGCACTAGGAGGGTTTCAGCATGAAATGAAAGCGCCTCGTTTAACTGGGTGGCAAAAAAAATGTACTACCAGTAACCGATTTTTAAATCTTGGAAAAAGTCCTTCTCTTACATTGGAATGGTTTCCGCGTTTGGATTTGAATTCACACTGTCGCGAATCAGAAACGAGCTGTGTGTGTGTGTGCTTCTCAAATGTTAGTAAGAACTGTAGTTGCTAACTTCCTCTTTAACCGTGCTTCCACAAATTTTCATGAACAGCATTAATTTTCTTGATTCTGTTCATGCAACTTACAACGTCGGGGAACTGGAGATGGAATTCATGGGAGGATTTTATTTTTTTAAACTCCATTTATTTGAGAGTACTTTTCGTCTGCGTTAGTTTTTTTGCATAGCAGTCTCCGTCTACAGGGCTGAAAACTCCATTTCTCCGTAAATATTCTGAATTCACGGATAAGATAGCTTTGTTGATTCGTTCCGAATACATTTTATCGATGACACTTATTGTGTTTCTCCGGTAATACTGTATGAACTTTTGGGCGTTCATGGTTCTAAAAATTTCCGGACGCGTTTATCTTATGATGAACGGCGATCCTTCCAGGTTATAATTTCAATGAAGGTGCGTGAGGCTAACGCGATGCTAGTAGATGAATGGGTTAACGATGGGACGGGTGTTATCATTTTCTTTCAAGATCTCATCACGCGGTTGCGAAATAAGAATGGTGTGTAAAAAAAAATAAAAGTTGTGGTTGTGTTGCTACAGGTGTGATATATCCAGTACATTTGTACATCGGTTAACCTTGCGATGATTCGTTTGATATTCGCGTAATAACGCTTTTTTATGTTCGAAAAGCTGCATCGTGTAGACTTGTTGGAAACTAACAACAAAAAATACGTGCTATATTTTGTTAGTACGGAAGGATTTCCCATTCTGAAAAAAAGAAAAACAAAACAAATCGCATGCTTCTGTTATATTTCCAGACTAGAGCGTTGAATTCATCCAGACATCCGATCATGGCTCCCTTGGCCAGCATGGAGGACACAAACACAGTAGAAACACCGGGACAAGACTGATCCATGGATTAATCTGAGGAAAATGATTGCTTTGTAACGAATTGTTGATTTCATCTCCAGACCGGAGGTTCATTTCTCAATTCCGCCTTTCTATAGGAACACGTTCACATGTATCTTGGACAGCCAAGTGAAAAGGTTTGACAGCTGTAAATATCTGCTAAATTGTTGTTTCCTTATTTATAACTTGCTGTCCGTGAGTGGTCGTGAAAGCTTGACATTGGTGGTGTTGTAGGAATGCTTTAATGAGAATTTTTGAATGGCTCAGACCTATATTGGCATTCCAAGTCAGTTGATGGAGTTCTCTTGTGCACTTTTGACACCCCCGTTTTGCTTTTGGATTCGATGGACCCTCGATGTGATGTAAATAGTGTTTGCTGGCCTTGTTTGCTTTATTCTCTTGTCATAAAGTGAGTGAAATCGAGTGAAGATTAGAGACAAAGTTTATTTATGGAAGGCTGAAGAAAAAAGGTGACAAGTAATCAGAAGGTAGCTTATTGCGCGTAGAGCAGCGGTGTTTTTTCTGTGTGAAAGGATTTCGAGTAACTTTCATTTCGCTTTTCCTGACGTTGCTTGGCTTTTGTAAATGTCTTTCCGGATACTCACGGAAGAAAGAAGAAAAGCGGATGAATAATTACTGCGCTGTCATGCCTTGCTTTGGGATTCTTCCTAACGCTGATCCGTCCTTTCAAGGAGTAACTCGTTACAATTTTTTTGGAGGCCTTGTCACGAGGAATGCATTGATCTCTAAATTTGCTTGTCCTCTTCGTCTCCCAGTTGCTATTTTTGTGCGAATTATTTCTACGGTCTGATTGCGGTATTTTTTTTGGTTTCGATGACTGGACTTGCCTTCTTTGTGTGCTGGATTGTGCCGCGGAAAAGTCGTGCGTCCTTCGGAGTTTTGTTTTTATTGTGTAGCAAATACCTGCCCATGCTTTGCTTGTTTGGTGTGCACTTATTTGTGATTAGCAAATTAGGAAGTGCGGGTGTGAGGGATGGGAAAGTTGGTAGATGGTTAATAAATTCCTGGAAATATTTCATTTGTCAGTTCATTTCAATTCGTCCATCTCCTTGTAGGATTGTGGACACACGATATGTTCTGCTTCAGTTGGAAACATGCTCTCATGCGAATATCTACGAACGCTTCAATGAAAATCATGTTTGTCTGAATTCTTCAAGAAATTTTGAACTGCATTGCAGAGAAAAACTTGAACATGTTTGCCCACTGAACTGGCAAAGATCAGGAAGGAAAGCCGTGCTCTGCGATTCCAGAGCCCCCTTTCATCTGGTGGAAAAACAATACTTTATTTCTAAAACCTTGGAATAGGTGTCGCACGAAGTTCGTCATTCTACAAGTACTGTATACGTGGGCAATGCAGAAAGTTCACAACGTCTATATAGAGGAAGTCTTCTGAGGTCCCAAATAAGAACGATAATAATTTGGAACTTTTAAATATGTACAAATGTTTCTCGTGGTGATGCTATTGTTCTGAAGTTCGGAAATTTTGCCGGGCACATTAGAAAGGAGTTTCGTAATAATGTACGACTAACCATAACGAATTTCTCCGGAGAAATTTTAGTTAGTTCTCTGTATAGAGTTAGTTCAAGTGAGGTATTTTAATCATCCTAGCTATTTCTCGCTCTGATAATCATCTGTATACCCGTAACGAAGAATTCTTCATTTTGAAAATTAATGTGCCGACGGATTTCTTTCATGTCCGGCAAGTCCAGCACAGGATGAATTGCGTTGAAAAATTTTCAAAACTCACTTGAATGGGTGTTTTTTCTGCTTTCCATAATTTGATTTGTGCACAGAGAAATCAATGTAAAATTAAAAGATACCCATACATTCGTCTCTGTTTGGTATACAGTACTATTTTCGGTAAGATTAATTCTACAGAACTTTCCTAGCAGAAAATACCGTGATGGTCTACTGGAATGTTTATATTCCAGCAGAATAAACACGGATTGAATGAGTTCGTTATTGACCAGAAAAAAATCATTCGATGATTCTCTCTCTTACAAGAATGCATTTACTGTATTTCGTTTGATTCTTAAAGGTGAACGAGAAGAAAGCGAATGAAGCCACTTATTATTATTCTTGCCTTATGCCTCTTTCCAACAGTATAGTCTACTCTATAATCCATCAGCCCTTAGAGAAAGTTTTCCCTAGTGAGAATAAAGATTTTTCCAGCCAGGCACCTTATGCGACGCGATCGAGCAGCAAATTGGCAAAATCTCCAGTTATAAATCACCTCCCGCTGGCGAAAACCGCACGAAGGAAAGTTATCTTGCCAATTATTTTGTCGCCCTCTTGGACTACGTGAGACTTTCATTCTGCGGTTTTTGTGGTATTGAACCTCGACCTCGCAAAAAATTGGCGTCCCTAAGCTAAAACCACGAATCGCCTCGATTCGTTCAAACATCGATGTACGATCAGCGGTAAAAATGTATAGCATGTCTCGATTTTTTATTCATTTATTGTTCAAAATTCTGAAATGCGTGTTCCGAAGCTTATCTCGTCACCTGTAATAACAGGGGTTCTTGATTTTCGATTTTTAAACTTTTTTGTTTAGCGTTTCAAGCAAAATTAAGGCAGTACGATCGGATGATCCGATGACGGAAAAAATTGCCATATATTCAAAATTTTAAAATTATAGTAGATTAAAAAATTAATCTAAAAAACCACGTTTTTCAAGTACATTGTCATCAGTTTCTAAGCTATCCTGAAAGTTTCAGCTTGCTAGCTAGTCAGGAAGTGAGCGAAATTTGAGTTGCAAAATTTGATCCCGACAAACAAAAGGACAAGAAAGCGAGTTAATAAAAACGTGTTAAAATAATAATGCATTTTAAAGTTACATGACCGAACAGAACATTAGATCATTTGATTGCTCGTAGTCTGCAGATCAACAAAAATGCGGAAGAATAACGGCAGTACAAGATCGATAACTTTCTTCCGGGTTCACAAAAAACAAAAATCCGTTTCATGGAGTTCATCATGCACTCACAACAAAAATCTGCATTTCAGATTTTTAAATATATAGTACTGCATTCGTAGAAGTGAGCAAATGGCAGATAAAATTCTTCAAATTTTTCTGCGCAAACTTCCTTTTCCTGTGGGTTGCGGTTCAAGACCCGTCAACAAAGCTCGTGCTTTCAGCCACATATGTGCCCCATTTCGATTTTTTTCCCGCAATGTTTCGTTTCGGAATTATGGGCAAAATGTAATCTTCGTCTCAGTGACGAAGCAACTTTTGCAGAGCGTATTTGCCGTGCGAATCTTCTCCAAGTCGAGGTATGCGTTGCGCATTTTTGAACATGAATTTTCGAGAAACCTCCGGGCTGAGGAAAATGAGCACGGAAAAGTTCATGCATTCCGCTCATCGTTGAAAAGAAAACAAGCCCTTGTGAAAATATTCGTACATCGTACCGTATATGTCTTTTTCGAATATATGAGTTCACCGTATATAATGGAAGGAAATTCCGAACTTCTTTTCTTTGTGCGCAGCAATTAAAACATCACTTTTACGTTCTACCGCTAAATAAAATACGGTAGATAGTTTAATTCAGAGTCCTCGTTATAAGAAATAACCGATTCGTAAAAATTGCGCTCAAGAGAATTATTGGTATTGGTCAGAATTCATTCTTACAGCTCTATATTTGCAAAAACGGTGTAAAATAACCCTTGTCTTCCTCTTCAGCCAATGACTCATGCATCTTGAAATGCTGCTAAAAGCTGACCATTTCTTAATTTTTTCAAAGTTTATTCCAAAAGAACTGAAAAAATAAGACGAATATTTTCTGATATGCACACGATTTGCTCAAATAAATAGAATTGGAGGAGGAGTTCTTCATCTTGATCTTCGTGTAAATACGGTGTGTCTTTCTTTTTTGATTTAAAAAAAGGTTTCCTATATTTGAAAATAAATTAAAGAGCTTATCTCAGAACTTCTTAAATTAGTGGACATTATTTCTTTTTTTTTGTTGGGGAAAATTGGTTTCTGTTAATTTTTCACTGAAAAAATCGGCGCTCCGAATTCATGGCCAACAGCAGATCAAGAAAATCTGATCTCAACTTCCTGACGAAGCCCTCCGCGAAGTAACGGTGGTTCCGATGAGGGTACCTGGGTTTGTGAAGAATAACCGAAGACCCGACGGGTTCTGGGGTTTGTTTCACTTAATTCAGCAGCAGCGGTGCATTCACAGGATGCCTATATACGAGCTCGCAATTTGGGACGTCGACGGGGGGTGCATTCCGTCCAGATTGCTGATCCTACGCGTTTCTTTTGCGCGAACCCCGGAAAACAATAAAATAAAATTAAATGAAGTAAATAAGTAAAATAAAACGAACGTAGGAAATTGTTGAGATCAGCAAGGGTTCAGCGGGAGAAAAAAAATAATCCAGGTGATCGACTCCTCCGACCGAAACCCGGTTGATTTTTAAATCTAACTATATTACGCACAAATGGGTACCCAGGATAATGAACGCTTTGCATAGTAGCCTTTCTGCAGAACGAAGTGTCGGACGATGTTTTGGATGCTTTTATATATGACAGAGGGACTGTAGAAAAATTGTTCATTCATGTAAAATCAAGGTTCTTATGAATGGAAATGAAGCTTTTCTTTTCCATGTTCCTGAACATTCTTACTGTGATTTTTAAATAGCGGATTATATATATTTTGAAGATTTAAAGATTACGACGAAAACATTTACAAAATATTGCCTAGTGCGTCGAGAGCCTTTGAAGATCTGGAACCCGTCAGCTATTTTATACCGTTTCTCAATTATACTGTCCTCGGTTATTGAACTTACCATCATTATGGAACGGATTAAGTCCATTAAGCGAGGCACCACTTCTTGCAAAAAAATTTCGAAGGTAGCTTAGGAAAAATGCGAAATCGGGAAATTAAGAGCAATTCGCAACTTACAAATCGTTTAACTGACGTTCATAATGAAAACTTATGAAATTCTAAAACAACGATTTTTTTCGCAAAATGTTTCCACGAACAAGCACATCTGAATCAAGATTTTTGATGAACTGCATTCATCGTAAAAAAAAATAAGAGACTTCTGAAAGAAAGCATTTATTGTGCTGGTACTTCCGGACTTGGGGTAAGTGAAAACGCTCCCTCAGGACATCCGGCTCTTTGCCTATATGTGCTTGTTTTCCCTGAATTTTTCTACGTTTTCGAGTGCAACCAGGTCTTTTGTTATTTTAGAAAAGATACGGTAGTACAGTACCTTCTTGAATTCTGCAAAGGGAAGTTCATTTTACATTTCGCGAACATTCAACCTGTTATTCATTAAAAAAAGTAAGCTACAAATGATAGTAATTTATTCTTTGTTTTATTTCGACAATTCAAGAACTATTCTGATTTCATGTCCACACGCATGCGTACGTTGGTCAAATATTTTTAGTACAGTGCTATATTTCTTTTGAGATAAATCCCAGGTAATCCGAAGATTTTCTCCTTATTTGAACATTGCGACAATTTGAGGCAAAAATAATGCGAGAATAGTCGGCTAAAACAATCATGGAATTTCTCGATCAGAACTGTATTCATCGATTGCTTCACCATAAGTATGTTTGAGTTCCCGAATTTCTGCACAGAAGTAATTGTTTTTGGTGCAATGCCCCTTAGTCTTGAGCTTAAAAGAAAAAGTCAATTTAGAGCATGACCAAAACATGTACTAAATTTTTAAAATTAAAACGGTCTTGTAAGCCGAACAAAGGATACATTTCCAGAAATGGTATCGAAGGCTTGCTTCAACAAGACCGCGATTCGATTACTATTATTTTTTGGAATAAAATATGGTTTGATCAAGAGAAAAATCCATTTATTCTCTAGATTGACAGAAATGAATTTCACGAAAAGGCAATCGGCTTCTCGAACACATTCGCACAAGTGGGTCAATTCGACGTCACCCGTTTCTCCGAACCTATTTCGCTTTGTTCGTGCTGGTTGCACGTATAGCAGAAATGGCCTCTCGTGTTTCATTTTTGCATTTCGTTACCTTCTCTTCTGCAGTTTAG